CCGACCACGGCAAAAATAAAGACGATGATGGCCAACACCAGCGTGAGGTTTCCCAGAGCTCCCACTGAATTGCCAATGATCTTAATTAGCATATTTAGTGTAGGCCAGGATTTTGCCAACTTGAAAACTCGAAGCTGTAATCAAGTGGAAAGATATTCTTAATAGTAATCATGATATAATTTTAGAAATTAGATATTATTACTATGATATGTTATAGAATCACACCCAATGAATGTAAAAACTCAAAATATACTAAACTAATTCAGTTTCAAATACAAAAATGGTAGTGTTAATAATATTGAAATTGCAAATCAGATCACAACACTGTTTAAACACAAAAATAAAAATGATAAAAATTTTAGAAATAACAAAACATTTTTGTTCGCCAGAAGATATACTTGTGAAAACAATATTTTGAATGGAGACATTTTTAAATATAGCAAATGAATGTCACCAAGAGATTCTATTTTACAAGGTATAAACAATATTAAAAGCATCAATATGTTTATAACAGGCCATTATAAAATGAAAGTAAAATAATCTAATTTGATACCAAAAAAATATAGAAAGTCTTCCCTTCAATTTGAAAAATACATTTTACTTAATTTCTAATAATATTTCATATATTTTAAAATAAAATTTTTGCTACAATTCCAAAAATATGTTATACTATTGTTTAAGATGCTCTTAATGTTAAATAATTTTCCACATACTGCTTTAAAGGAGTTATAACGAATATAAATAAGATTAATAAAAAGCTAAAATTAACTGGAGCCTGTTTTTATTTGCATTTCTTAACAGACTGTAAGGCCAAAATAAATTTCATAAATTGAAAAAATAATTTTACAAAGTACAAGTAAGTTTTTTAATGTACCCTAGATATCTGATCATGATAAGGCACTTTATTCCTTTTATCATTCTTAGAAAATGATTTTAACACTTATATCATTCCTAGAAAATTTAGCTCTAAAGAGAATGTTTATATATTTTCTTAGACTATCACATATTACTGTAAATTTAAAATATCATTAGAATTATTAATTATATAATACATATTTGTTCAATTTCAAAATAAATGTTATGTCAGTGAGAGACAGGACATAAACATAGATAGCCATGGCCGATACCAGTCTGAAAGATCGCAGTACGGACAGTCCTTCCACATTTGATAAACCAAGCTCCATTAAACTCAGGCTGACAATAATTCCATCAAAGATATTCCAGCCCTCTTGGAAATAGTAGTAGGGATCCATAGCAATGATCTTGAGAACCATTTCTGCTGTGAAGATCCCAGTGAAGACCTAAAATAAAATAGAGATCAGTACTCCCTGAAAACCACTGAAAAACTTCAATGCTGCAAGAATTTATAAAGAATATTAAACAGTCATGCAAAAAATATCTAAAATTTAAAGTCACAAAATGTGACAAATCAAGTTTAGCATTTTTCCCCCCAAGAAAGTGTTTTGTTAAGTGGATTTGGCTTATTTAATGAATCTGTTGGATTTTCAGGAAAAGGACTGATTTTAAAACATTTCATTGTCTATATTTTACATCTGATACAAAATAATAGCTGCTAAATTATTGCCCTTTCTGGTACACTATTCCTCTACCATAATCACAACCAAATATATGTTTTGTATATTAGTGCATCAGGGACAAATCTACATATTACTAAACATTATTAAACCTAACTTGAAATTTAGTAAAAGCCATATTGTGTTCTCAATTTTGAGCTTATTTTAAGGAATGCCATCAATTAAAATATAATTTCATAAACATTCCTTAAACAAGAGGAGTTGCCACAAATGGCTTATAATAATGACCACTGGATGCATGCCTCAAAATTGAGGTTAATGCATTAACAGAAAAAGGCACTGCAGATTTAATTGAAGCCAGCAGGAGAACATTCACCGTATGCATATACTTGTAATTAAGACTAATAAATCATTTGAGTGGCTAGATAATGTGTACTTGACAATAAGGAGGAAAACAATGAAACAAACACAGTATTTTTTTTTTTTTTAACTCAAACCACAGGCTAAGAGACTCAAGGAGATGAAAAGTCATGCAATTACTCTTATAGAAAGTCTTTTGAAGCAATTCTCTTAATACACTACAGGTAAAATCTCCATTTTATAACTGTAAAGTCAAGCCTGTACCAAAACAAATTAGCCTTTATTTAGAAGAAATTCTGCCAAAACAACAGTATTAAAATTATTTGGTTTCCTAAAACATTATATTCATTAGAAGAAATCTTTTTTCCTCCACATTAATGACTTGTTCATGTTATATGCTTTATAGACACAATAAATGGTAAATAATGACATCAGTAACTGAGGCTGAGTTGTATAGCAAAGTCAAATTGTACAGCAATACTTATATAATTTTGATTTCTGTACTTACAAAGGTATAAATGCAGCTAACACCTCATTTTTCCAATCACAGAAAGATATAAGGAAAATACTCATCCCAGAAAAAATAGCTGGAGTGCCGTTATTCATCCATTCACTCACACAGAAATAAGATTTATTTTAGGCAAGACTAGTAGAACATGAAAATCCAGATATATAGTGAAGTGCACATTGGAAAATAATTTTTTCATTTTACAGAATAACTCACCATGGAGTTTTTTTTTTTTTTCAGATACTGACTTTCCCTGGCAAATGTAAAATAAGTTCTAACTTATAAAAATTTTATTTCATATATAAAACTTTTACAAGGAGCTGTTATTTGAAATAGGCACTCCGATGATAGAAATATATTATTTAAAATGAGCTAGAAACCATCCAGGTTAGATCTACAAATATCTCCTTCTACAGAAAATTATAAGATGATCTTTTTAGCTCCTCTGAAATGAGCAGATATCCTGCATTTAAAAAACTGTTCTCTTTTACTCATCTAAAATGTAATCTCATCGTAAAACTTGTCTTTAAAAATAACATCTTAATTACAGTTTGCAATTTAATATCACAACTATATCTCTTTAAATGTTTTCAGTTTAGGCCCCAAATATCAGTGGGGGTTATTTTTGGTACATTGTAGTCTAATTTTAGCATTGTCAAGTTAGTTAGGAATTTTTGTTATGATGAAGAAGTTTGTCTAACCTATTATGGTTGATAGGCTAGTTCTTGATTATTGAATTTCTAAGATAGTTTTAGAATGGTTAACATGGTTAAAAAAAGAGAAACAAAAATACCCCATAAAACCCAGAGCATCTTAGAGAAGCCCAACGGTAGGTCTCTTGATACTCAAAGTTGATCAATCCAATCAACAGGGAAGTGATGCAATTTTTATGTACTATAGAAACAGGATACAAAAAGGGTCCCACTGAGTGAAGTCAACACTGAAAATTCCCCAATGCTTTCATAGTCTTTTGTTTTTGGTTCAATTAAAACCTCAACATCCTCATCCACAAGGCAATATACCATAATTTAAAGGGCACTGAACTCATCTATAGAAATTCTAAATTTATTTTAATGAGCAAATGATAAACTCTGTAAAATATGGTGTGCCACCATCTGTGGTGTATGACATAGTCCTAAGTCAGCTAAGTGGCTGCTATATAAAAAATTCTCTTTCTCTTTCACTTTCTTTCTCATACACTCTCTCTGCATATCACGTATTCTATTTTTCATATGTATAAACATACATAATTATTATAGATATAAAATAAGATATATGAGAAATTACCTTGTAAACTATGCAGTAATTTATTGGTATAAGATGTTATTATTGATTATATAGGGAGGAGGTTTCAACTGATGGAGTCAGTTTACATATCCTTTTATTCTTAGGGTTTCCAGTAGATAACGAAAGTCTGCTGCCTGTCATTTAAACTTGGTATTGTGATAAGCCTTGTTTCCCAACACTAACCTGAATTTACCAATGGTTTCAGGACAGTCAATTTACCAGGCCTCAGTCTCTCATCCCAATTTCCTACCTCATTATTTCAGTCACTACCCACAAAGTCACAGAATTTTAGAATTGAAGGGACATAAAAAGCCATATAGTCCAACACACTCATTGCTTATATGGGTGTTGAGAAAACAGACCCAAAGATTTCAGTGATTTTTGCCAGGACTACATAGACATGTAGCCTGAACACACAGACTAGGACCCATATGCAGTGCTTTGGTCTAGTGATTTTCCATTCAATCATCCTATAATGATCCTGTGCTTCCATAATCAACTGTTTCAACATTGGAATTCTATAAAACTTCAATTTCCTGCTTTACTCTGGCAAACTTCCAGAATATTCCTTCCCTTGTTCAACTTCCCTAGCTATCCAATATCCTGGGAAAAATACAAGAACTAGAACAGAAGTATTTTCCATCAGTATTTCAAAGGAAGGTCTGAGAGGTTAATAGCATATATAGGAGGCAGGAAGCCGTTCATTGAGCACAGGCTATTGATGTCAGGCACGGTGCGAGGTGTTTTCACATTACCTCATTTGACCTTCACAACAACTCTGAGAGATGAGTATTATTATACCCATGTCAATAACAGAAAACAAAGACTTAAACTGTTTATCAGATTTGGCCAAGAGTCCTATCATCAGTAAGCACTGGCAACTGACATCCAACTCCAAAGCCTGTGCTCTTCCACAGGTCTGCTACCTGAAACAGACTTTTTGAGTAGAAAATAACTAGTGGGTTATTTATTGGGTGATCACCATGTAAATACTTGAAAAGACAATAGGAAAATGGGACACAGGCTTTGGTATTACATTATTTATAATGGATTTGTAAACCAAGATTCATTCAAGAACAACAGAAATACTTAATATTCAACTACGTTTTGCTCACAAATGCATTAGGAGTTAAGAAAAGTATTTTCAACCTAGGGCGAGTGTCGTGTTAGAAGAGAGAGGCCTGGAGTTAGGCCTTGAAGAATATGAAGAATTGAGGTGAGCTGAGTCAGAATACTCTAAGTGTGAGTATAGGAAGAGTAAGCAGAGAAATAGTTTCCTATATATAATCACATAAACACTTGCTTGGTATTTGTGTGGTATAGTGGCAAGGCTGTTCTGACAGGGCCAATGGTGGCCAATTAAGAAAGATGAACAGTAAGATGGTATCAGAAAGATGGGATCAGATGAGGAAGGAGTCTTAAAAACCAGATAAAAGAATGTGGAACCACAAGTACAGACTATAAATATTTTAGCAAGGTGAAAGCATATTGCATGAATAGTACTAGAAATATTTTAATAATAGTTATAGGATTTAAAAATTGATAACTTGAGAGAAAAAGTAATAGATCTTCATAACAAGTTGTATATGAGAAATAAGGGGAATGTAAGGCCAAATGGCTGTATTATTTCTATCTTTGAAGCTGGAAGGCCACTACTAGACATAAAAGAAGACTGAAATTAGATTGACAGTACTTTCAATAAACTGTGGGAAAGAGAACCTTTCAGTCGTGCATAAAACTTTCTTTAAAACACTTCTTGAACAGTGATTTATAACAGTTGAAAAGATAGGACTTCAACAAAGCTTATACCATAAGAGTGCATAATTTCTAAAATTGATGAGTAGATAAAAATATTAACTCAAGACCCTGGTATTACTTGGCTTATGAAGAGAAATCCAAAAAAGGAAGCAGATACAGTGATGAGAAAGATCAAGAAGTAATCAAGGAAAAAAATTAATATCACAGGTGTCAAAGATGAAAAAAAGCTCAAGGAGATGGTGGGTGTTATACCGAATCCAATAATGTAGAGAAGTTGAGCTTACTTACTGAGGTGCACATTTATGCAATTGTCTATTGGCAGTTGTTCCTCCACCTGCATGATTCCTCATGACAGCCATGTTTTCACATGATCCCAATCCCCTGTCCCTACTGATTAAACTAGAGGTGAGCATCTGACCCAAATTATGCCAAAAGAAGTCCTGTCATGGGAGTCTTTGAACTGGAGCTCAAAAAGAGATCCAGTCTTTTTGCAGCACAAAACTGTAAAGTGTAAAACAAGTAAGCTATGACTGAACATTTCCTGACCTAAGGTCCGATGAAGCAGTGAACTTCTGAGCTATATCCAAGCCTTTGATTAAAGCTGTTCCTGAAGTCCCACTGTGATGTTATCCTTTACAGGGTCTGGTAGTTGATGCTTTTCTTCCACATTATGAGTCAGTCTTCCCAATTCCCCTTGCCCCAAGTTTGTTTGAGTTAGTAAAGAGAAAGGCCTTTTTAAAGCCTCCATAATACTTGCTCATGTATTTTGATTTTTCATATAGATTTAGAAGGAAATGTAAATTGGCACACGCAGACACAGATGTATGCTTAAGTGATTTGAATCAAAAGTATGGCTAAATTACAAAAGCATTTTTACCAGTTATTTCTTTTCTTCTATTAATATCTCTGAAACATAACTATGCCCTCTCTGATTAATAGAAATCAATCCTTCAGAGGTCACTTCCATGGACATGATTCCTTTAGAAGTTGTGGAAGTTAAAACTACATGTTTGTGGAGCCAAGATTAGATCACAGGGTTGCCTTGGACCTGCCTCCCAACAAAAAGTACTGTAAAGATTTTAAGGTGTTTACAACAAGAAGACATCATGATCAATTTTTAACAGGGATGTTGGCCTAGACAATTAGCACTCAGTTGAATTTTAGACTGTCATGCTAAAATTCTCTGTAATATTCCTTTAGATATCTCTTCCTATGAAGAAAGTTAGTATCATTTGGGGGTTCAAAACAGCAAAAATGGAATTTTTCCTTTGTTCTATCTTTCCCACCCCTGCCAAAGGAAAGAAGTAAACTTCAAATGAACTTACCAGGTTTCCTACAGTCAATACACTACTGAATTGCTGAGTCATGGGGTAGTGCTCCATGGCCATAAAGAGGGTATTTAAAACAATGCAAATAGTGATGGCAAGATCAACAAATGGATCCATAACAATTAAATTCACAAGATGTTTTATTTTTAACCATGCATCACAGCAGTCCCAGATCAAGAACACATTGGCAAATCTATACCAGCATGGTGGACATTTCTGTCTAGATTCTTCAAGTTCTAGGGGAACAATAAAGAGGAATAGTAGTAAACAACAATAAAATGAATTATTGTTGCTAGTAGATTATACATTATTTGGTAAAACGGATGCTTATACTTGGGAACAGACGTTCATATTATCATCTTAACAAATTTGAGATGACAATTCCATTAAATAGTTGCAGAAAATACTCATTAAAAATGTTGTATAGATTGATTTTGTTTTCCCTTTTAAATACAGCAAATAAACACTTTGAATTTAACCTCTGCCTCAAAATAACTAGATTATGATCGATTAAATTGCTATATTCCTTTCTCACAATAAATTTTTAAAATCAACATCATAGAACTATTAAATTTAATAATTATTATTTCTTCTGAAAGCACTTTTTAAGAACACTGCCCAAAGCTGTGATCCTTGTTAATGTGTGAGCCATTTTCTCTTGTGATTGTTTACGCATCAACATTGGTCTTGCATGTGCTGAGAATGTGGTGTGTCCTTTTAAAATAGAGATTCAGACCCAAATCTACTTCTGTGGTTCACTCATATCTTAGAATTTTAGCCTCATACATAAAAACATTACTAGAATTTTTAATGAATGAAGCCTGTTATAAAATTATTATTATGTGACTGTTTGGATGCTCAATACACCAAAAAAAAATGATATAAAATGTAGCCAATGAGTCTAAAGAACATATATTAGGGCTGACATATAATTAACTTACAAAATTGCAATACTAATGTAATATGTCACCAAATAGGGACTGTTTAATGTATGGATGATGAGGTGGTTGATACCCATTCTTCTATGAAAATCAACAAGCATTTGGGTCAGGGATCCTTTGGAGTCATGCAATAGTTGATGCCCATTCCTCTTGAAATCAACAAGCATTTGGGTCAGGGGTCCTTTGGAGCAATGCAATGGTTTCTGTGTATGTAGAAGATGGGAGGAGAGACCTTTTCGTAGGGTCCCTGTTGGGGTGGAGCACAGGTTTTGATTTGCCCACCTCCTTCATAGCCATGGTCTTTCCCCACCCCACCAACACTTCTGTGTCTGGAAAACAGACTAAAGCCCAAAGAAATGTTTCCTTGTGCTTCTCTATATCAAGACATAAAAAGGGGAAAATGAACACTCTATTTGCACCTGAGTGATGTAACCTAAGAATAAGTCCTCACTGATAAAATGCCAAGTGGTGAAATATCACTCTGCAAACAAGAAAAAGATCCAAGTCAAAAAGAAGTAAGTTCAATATTAGTTTTTGTAATCCATGTGATAGTAATATACTTTATATATCGCATACTTAGGCCTTATTATACTTACTACACAGTTCTTATACTTATTATATAGTTCCTGATCTTCATTCATTCTGTGAGAAGAAGTAGTAGTTCCACAAAGCACACAGCCATAGAAAGTTGACTACGCTGTAGCCTGCTTCTTACCCTCCATTGTGTTGGTCAGAATGCTGGCTATGCTCATGGCTCTTTGCCTTCCCGAGGAATCCTCCAGCATCTCCATTGAAATCTGGTAAGAACTTAGCCTTCTCTTTCTGATATCTGTTTCCGTGGTGGTACCCTGCAAACCAAATACTGATAGCTCAAACCACCCCTTTCAATGAATAACACAACACCACCACATAGCATTTCTTTGGAAAATCATGCTACATGCAATTATTCAAAGTAACAATTTTAAGTAACAATAAAATGTTGATTTTTTGTTAAGTTATAAACTTAGACTTTTTAGAAAAGTTATCACAGGTGGTACTCTTTAAGAAGAATTCACCAGTTGGATACAATTGAGTAACTATAAGAAATATTTTAGCTAACTTGTCAGAATATTCAGGAAATGTTTTCATAAACAAGCTAAAGTCATTTATTGTTTTGTTTCATTTAAATAAAAACTATTTTTTCAGCTTCTCTCAATGACCAACATTAAATCAATCTTCCCCCCCAGATAAATACTATGATTATATAGTCTCAAGGCTGAATTATTTTCTTGGAGGCTATACTGACAATATTGACATATATGGGCCATTTTTTCATGCACAAACACAGATGTACAATGAAATGTGTGTGCTTTCCTGAGATTTCTTGAATCAATTCTGGCATGCCATCCTATAAGAAATCAACACATTTTATTTTAGAGTCATTTTAAAATAGCACTGCAAATATTGGCAGTTGGATAAAACTGTCCATTATCAATAAAGTGGTTGTTAACGATATTTAATTTCAAGAACATGAAGTTTTCAGAATATGAATAAATAATTATAGAATTCTGGGTGAATATACACCTATAATAAATGTTTAATTGTGTCAGAGTGCCCACTATTTTGTATTGATGGGTCTACTGAATTTGCAGGTATGTATTTCATACTACACTCTGCACACTAGGCCATTTTAACTGAACGCATTTGAAAGCTAATGGTTGCACACAATTCTCAATTGGTTCTCCAGAT